TAAGGCACTGAACATAAAATAAATAAACAAATGACAAATACTATTTTATCTCTTTATTTTTTTTCAGAATATTTTAATATTGAAGCCCAAGTTGTTATTTTCAAGGGATAGGGAAGGGGAAAAGGAAAGGGAGAAGAGAGAAGTTATGAAGACAAATTATTTTATTTAATTTATGGTTTTGTGAATGGTCATTTCTGTAGGCAACAAAATGTTGTTTTCTTAAAAAAAATAAAACAAACAGCACCATTAAAGAAAGCATGATCCCTGAATTCTAAACAAAACACTGTCTCGAAACAAAAAGTTGCTAAAATGCTTGTTTCATCCAGTCACGTCTGGTGGGGTAACAAAGCGAAGCATAACAGCATTAAACTGTAGCAATCCCGCTGAAACCAACTACACCCCCTTCTGAAGATTCAGAGAACCACTTTCTGAGCTTGTCCTGTGGGAATAATATTTTCTTTGGTAGAGGACCGAAGGAGGGTATTTTCTTCACTGAATGCGGATAGAAAAAATATCTATGCACGTTAGGGATCTCCCCAATAAATCTGTATTTCTCATGCATGTTAGGTATGAGTGGATTTCACATTGCTGTTATACTGCAAGAGTAATACTGCCCCATAAAGGCATAGAATGGCTAATGTCGAACAGATGTAAACATTCAGAATACTGACAAAAAAAATACATACACACAAAAAACCCTGTACTGAAAATGTGAATCGAGTTAAGTTTCCGTAAAGCAGAAAAAAATATTTTACAGCAGTACAAGAGAATTATGGCAACAAAGTAAAGCACTTTTCTTGTAACATTCATGAACAGTACAAATACAACAAAGTTATTCTACGGACTAAATTATTCTTTAACTATCAAATATAGTACAAAGCGAAATATTATGTGCTATAAAAGAAGCAGCTCCTTAAATTAGACTAAAAAATGCCTTTTTTTTTTTCATTGGTTTTACAGTGACAAAGCATGATGACCGAAGACAACAGGATTTCATAGATTCAGAAACATTTAGCTACACAGGTCCATGATAAATCCACTGAATATTTTGTTGCTTCCCCCCCCAGTGTTCCGCAGAGCCACAGAAGACGAACCGCTGCGCTGCTGCCAGGAGACTGCAGAAGTCATTCAGTGTTCAGAGCAGGGCCGATCACGTGTGTCAGCTAAAATGATCCCTTCTGGTGACACTTCTCAGCTCATCTTGAGTGTTTATCCCGGTACTTCACCACACCTTGGAGAAACTGCTAAACCAGAGGCTACAATAACGATTCTGAAATTGTGCGTGTGTTTATAAGGGGAAGGGCGTGCAGCATAAGGTAATTTTACTTCAGAAATTGCATTGTAAAGCACCATATGCACCAGCTTAAAAACTGTGCAAGGAATTGCAGGGCCCTGAAAAACCATCTGCACGTTCTGTAGCTTACCCTGACAACATGCACCACCCTCAAGAAGAAAGTCTATAGTACAGAGAATATACCTTTTGCTTTATGGCTCAACCTTTATTTTTGTCTTTTAAATGCTATTATTTCATGTACTAGACCTTAGCAGATAAATAAAATGCAAACAGGGAGCATCCAGTTCACCATTTCTTAATTATTTTTTTAAACATTATTTCAAAGGGAGTTTCTGCTTGGAAGATTAGTTCAGAACAGAAACACACAAACACACACACTGCAAATGCCCTAACGTTATCTGCATATCTCACAGGTATGCAATTAAAACAATAAACAGGGAGGAAAGAAAAAAAGAGTGTTTCTCCCTCTCACCCAAAAGTGCTGCTCCAGGGGTAGGAGTGGGGGAACAATTTTGGAGATTTTAAAAAAGAAAAGGTAATTTATACATGCTGGACATTGGGACACATACGTACGTACACACAAACACAGAGCAGTGTGTTCTTAAGCAATTCTTTCATCACTTTTCAGTGCATAAACTATTAACACCCCACGGTGCAAACTGCATGGTCATTAGAAAACACAATGACGTTGGGCCTGAAACCTGGATAATTAAACAAAAAGAGAAGTCATTCAAAATTAACCTCTAAATGTGATTGTGTTCTTACTGAAGACCAAGGGTCACTCTCCCCCAAGCATTCATGTGATACCAGAATCCAAGTAAGGTTTTCAGTCACACTAGGATTCAGTCTGGCTCCTATATCACCGCAGTTGCTTTTGAGTATTTTAATACCCTAAAACTATAATCTGTGACAACGCTTTACGACTGTTGCTAACTAATTGGTCAAATTTATTCCTGGTGCAACTCCAACGACTCAAGAACGAAAGGAGTGGAACTGCACTATGAAGAGTTTGGACGGTTGTGTAATATAACATAGCACCATCCAGTCTAATGCCATTTTAAATAACATTTTATCATGACCTCAAACATGCAAGTTGCAATCCTGATACAAAAATGACAACATGACATGAATGAGTTACCTACCACATTAGTCACACTCTTATCCTTTGAACAAAGGAAAACTATTTTGTGGCTGGAATTTATTTCTGTATTATGTCAGTCAATACAAGTATTTCAAGATGCAAGTACAAACAAATATTGACTTATGTGCTGTGGACAGGAAAACCTGAGCTAGAAATAAGGATTCCCAGCAGGCCTATATAAACATAGGTTATTAGAAGTCTAAGACTGGTTGCTCTCTTTATTTTAAATAGAAGTATCCTACCTCTACCAAGTATAAATACAATGCAATACAATTCCGATACAAAGGCTCCTCAGATATGAATTTGATATGCATTAACTGACTACACTCATGCTTACTCATGAGTATTTTCCAGTCACTGTTTTGCCAGAAGCTGGTGTAGCACTGGATGCTAATTTTCATGCGATTACTTTTAGGTTTTTGCTTGGCTGGCTTATTTTCCTACCAGAAGACCTGAAAGTGCTGAGAAGCCGTTTCTTAACTCACATGTCATATCAAGGAGCACTTTTGTATAGAAAAAATATATTATTGTATCAGCAACAAATTTGTTAATGTAATTATAAATGGCCTTTGTACCACACAGTGTCAAAAATAATATCGATATGTTGCTAATTACAATAAAAGAGAACATCAAGGTGCACCATAGAGCTTCCTATGACAGGAATGTATGTTGTAGATATTCCAGCTCACTTTTAAGACAATAAATGGCATTTATCATGTTTGTGAAAATGGTCCCACAAGAAAATAAATGTGGTTCCTCCATTCAGTAGAACCTCACTAATATGCACCCATGTCAGGGAGACTGGTTACAGCTTATGAATAAGTATGCAAACAAAGATCATATTAAAAAAGTATAGTGTAAAAAATAGTATACTTTTTATTTCCTAGATGTAGTTCCACCACTCACATTAATATTTCAGAACGCAACAGCAAATGCATGATGAAATCCAAGCAGTATTACATCTCACACATTCTTACTACATTGCTCTCTGAAAACTGTGGAAGGAAAATCAGTTTTCTTGAGCAGACTGTAAGGTCTTTGGATTAGTGAGGTTCTACCATAATGGTAAAAATAACATTTCTCTCTGATGCTGACATTTGGGCAGACCCAACACATATTGGCAGATGGATGACTTGCACTCCACATTTTGTGTTCTTGAAGTGGGAGTAAAAAAGCCCAAGGTATGCTCATCTCCCCAGCAACTGCATGTGCTTTATCCCTTTATAATATTTTCCTTTTAGGTGAATAGGGCCCCAAAATTATAGTTTTTCTTCTCTGCTGTTACAGTGGCTAGCGCATCTGGAATGCAGCTATAGTCCTAAATGTAAATACAGTACTGGATAAATACTGAAGGTTACTCTAAAGATGCAGTATCCCTTTTAAAAATGCCTTTTTGCTTCCAGATTTCTAAAAGGAAGAGTAAGGGGTCTGAATTCCTTTGAGAAAAGAAATGTCAGTAAGTAATTCTAAGAATTACTTTAAATGGCAAAACTCTGAGATGTTATTTAAACAGGGAAACTCACGTAAGAGGAAAAACAACTGATAATCTAATATTCAACCAATATGCAATTAGAATCTTTCCTTATTCATTCATCATAAGAACGCATCATTTTTAGGCCATGGAAAGGCTAAAACATCCAGAACCTATTACATAAGTCTGACCCTATGTATATATATATATTTGGGACCGACAAACCAAACGGACAGATTAGAAAGACAGGATATTTGAGTGGGAAACAGGAAGAGAAAACAGGTTTCTAATCCCCAGTAGAGAAGTTACCTTCTCCAGACGCTATTAAACCAATGTGATTCCAGTGTTGGTCCCACTAACCCATCGCATATACAAATCTTTCTCAAGGAATCAACAATAAGAGATGATGAGTAAGATTTGAGTTCCATAGTCCCTAGCAGGCATGTAAGGAAACTCCTCTAACAAACTAAATTCCTCTCTTGGTTTTTTTTTTTTTTGCTAGGTGAAGTGACTATATTTTAGCCCTAGATAGTGAAAGGCAGTTGAAGAAAACAATCCTATCAGCAGAAAAACTGCAAACCAACTTAGAAGCTATGATGGCCGATACCTCGCACCTTGCCACTACCCCACTCAAAACAGTTGCTATTCAGTGTGTTATTCATTCTGCATAGTTACTCCACTTCTTGCGGAGTTATTCTTCCACTGATCTTTAACCTGCAGCTTGTATCAACTATCAAAAAGTGGAGAAAAAACGTGCTGCACTTTGTGCAAATAAATAGAAGCTACGAATGACATGCATTAATGCCTTTTTTTTTTTTTTAGCACAGCAAGAGAGCTCATAGAAGCTTCAGCAACAAGGCTATCTTTTTTTTTTAAACTACTTCTACAGGTTTCCTCTTCTTCCCAGAAAATGGCACTCAGGCAGGAATAACTAAATTCTGAAAGCACCATGTGGAAGAAAAAAAAACAATTTAAAAAAAAAAAAATCAATCAACTAATTGCAAACCATTAGTGGCCTAAACTGTTCCAATTTCTCCGTTCCTTTGTCCTGCTCTCCCACGCTGATAAGGGATACTGCATCTTTGATTCAGTTCCTACCGTACAACCAGACAAGCTACACACAGTTTGGAAGGCCCTATGCAGTCATCATGACAGAAGGCTCCGCAGCCTTTGCACACGATCATGGCTTTCAGCCTGCAAGAGCATTTCAGTTCCAGTTCATCGGCATTGCTACTGTCAGCAAATTTCTGAACCGGGATCTGCGCGTTCTGGTTAGACAGGCCTGTGGCAGCGTTTGAGCCACTTCCTAGAATCCCAATCGATTTCTCAATTGCAGATGCTGCCCTTTTGAAGCTTGTGCTACCGAAGTGTATTGTTGGATAATTTCCACAGAGCTGCTGCTGCTGCTGCTGCTGTGGGTGCTGCGTCTGTATTTTCTGGGCAGCAAGTTGGGTAAAAGGCTTCTGTGGCTCAGAAAGTAAATAGGAAGAGAAATCTGCATTTTTTAATGCAAACGCTTTTAACTGTTCTTTCACTTCGTTCTGATCATAGGAAGCTTGTTTCATGCCCAGTTCGCAGCTGCTGCTTAAACCTTCCTCAAAAGAAATAGGTTCAGATTTTATATTGCTACAGATGCTTGCTGGCTGAGGCCAACTAAGTCTTTTAGTGGTTTCCATAGTAACTGTCGGTTGTTTTTGATCAGAGGGGACTTCTGCATTTGGGTGAGGAGGGGGAGGAGGTGGCAGGGGCGGAGGGGGAGGAGGGGGATGCACTAACGTTTTACTCTGCAGAGTTTGAGAGGCACTGGCAATGTCATCACCGTCCTTAATTTGAATATTAGGGGAAAACACACTTCCTAGCCTCAGCTGGTGAGCTGCTGTAGAAATATTCACATCTCCCAAGCCCTTCTGTTCCAGGTGTCTGCTAAAAGCAAATGCGTTGCAGCCAGGTGGGCCTTTTGAAGTAGTTTGCAACAAAGCTGCTGTAGGAATGGGGCCTCTTGCAGCCATGGACATTTGGTAAAAATGCTGTCTATGTGAGGTACTAGCTTCTGCATGAAAGCTGCCATTTTTATCAATGTGAAATAAGCTCTGCTGGAAACTGCATGAAGGCAACGGCCTCTTCTGCTGCTTGATCCGTTGCAGCCAGGTGGGCCTTTTGAAGTAGTTTGCAACAAAGCTGCTGTAGGAATGGGGCCTCTTGCAGCCATGGACATTTGGTAAAAATGCTGTCTATGTGAGGTACTAGCTTCTGCATGAAAGCTGCCATTTTTATCAATGTGAAATAAGCTCTGCTGGAAACTGCATGAAGGCAACGGCCTCTTCTGCTGCTTGATCTCTGGGCTGTGAGCGATTGGGCT